CCTTGCTGACCGGATATTTCCTTCAATATATTACCCAGTTCTAGCCTGATGCCTTTAGTTTCTGAGACCTGATGATGTCGTAGAACGCAGACCGCTCCAGGTTACCCGCAGAGGGATAAATAATGATCTTATTAACTCCAAACCAAAGCGGAACCTCCTGACGTACCGTGAGGCAGGCGGGATGGACGATCTGGGCACAGCTGGAACACTCCATCAGGGTGAGGGAAGGGTCTCCAGTTTCCTCCTGATTGGGCTCTTTGCAGATCTCACACACAGCAGACAGAGGAAGGCCCGGCTGATGCAGACAGAGAGGAACCAGACATGATGCTCAGAATCACCACCTAAACCACGCTTATCTACAGAGACGCAGTCATCAATGCTTCTGGGGGGAGAGGTGCTCTATTCTGGTATGAGCTGCTTTTCTCAGGCAGGTACAGAAAAAAATAGACATTTTTACCCGATTGTTGTTCAGGATTAAAGTTTCTTAGAGAAAAGGTCAAACAATGGAGTAAAGTAGAGAACAACCAGGTTTTCTCTTCTTCTGTAGATGGTTTGAGGTACAAATGAAGATTAATTTCTCCATTTATGAACCTAAAAGGCCGCCTGCTGCTTACTGAGAGGCACTGCCGCAGCACGCAGGTCTGCTTGAGCTTCCCTGGTCCTCCAAACTTCTTCATGTCTCTGCAGAAGTTACACTCTCCACACTCTGGCCTAATGCAGGCCTCACAGCGCTTACATCTGCAGGGAAATACAAGGCAACCATCATCATCATCATCATCATCATGAAGCCTGAACACAGATGGAAATGTTCTGCATCTTCAGAGATAACCTTCATTTCTGTAAAGCAACCGACCCGACTCTAACCGTCAAACAGAAACGTTTCCGTCAGCTTGGTTACCTGACTCGGCGCCGCCTCAGTGAAGACATGGAGGCGGGTTTCTGAGGACGCTGGACGGTGGTTGCTGAGGGTGGTTTAGGACGAGGGGCTGGTGGCGGTGGGGGAGGAGGAGGCGGCGGCGGCGGCTGATACCATGAGGGCTGGTTTAGAAACAGAAAGATTAAACTGTTATAGAAGCAGAGAAAGGAGCAGATAGGATGAAACATCTTTAACTTCAGATGCAGGTTTTCTTTCCAACTCCAGAAGCTGCTGCTTGTGCAGCACGTCCTGGCCTCAGATGCTCAGAAGCTCATGATGCTCAGCTTCAGCTGCTTCAAGAAGCGCTGCTCCTACTGCTAGAAAGGCACTGCAAGACCTTTTGCTGCGTGTTAACCATACACTTTGCATGTAAACCAGCTGTTTTAGCAGCGTGGGGTCTGAATGTAGCATAATTCAATAATTTCCCTCATGACTGAATTTTGAGAAGCTTACTTTTTGTTAGCTAGAAGCAACAGCAGCTTCTAGCTAACAAAAGGAGGCAAAGGAAAACTGTAAACAGTTCCTGGACTGTAATTGTTCTTATTTTACAGAGTTTCTGGCTGTAGGAAGGCTCACCCTGGGCGGCCACTTGACGATGGGTTTCCCAGTGTACGCCAGTTTAGGGTTGTCATTAGCGTGCTCCTTCAGCAGAGCCTGCAGCACAAAAACACAAAGAAGCAGATAATCAGTCATCAGTTCAAACAGAGCGGTCAAGAGGAAGTGGTGGACGTTACCTTGATGTGCGTCATGAGCGTGGAGGCGTTCTGGATTCCAGCTGGAACGCACTTCTTGTTGGACTGCAGCGTCTCCAGTTTGCCGATCAGACTCCACAGCCCCTCCAGCTCCAGGGGAGTCAAATGGACTTTGGATGGGGACTTTTCCGACTGGGCGCCTGAAGGCTCTTCGTTCTTACCAGAACCCTCCTCCTGCAGCTCACGAGCTAAACCAAACGAGACCCACTGATTTTACTGAATCAATCATTTTATTTGTTTAAAACAGCCCAGAACATAAACAGCAAACTATCTGCATGTCTGCCCTCAGTGAGAGAGGAAGCAGCAACAATAAGGCTAGTTTAAAAAATCTACATCATTATATTTCAAGATATTATTCTTTTAAATGAATTAAAAACTGACTGAATAAACAAAAAATATTTTGGTACACATTATTAAAGTCATTTAGAAGAAACAACTAAACAAGAACCTATTAGGTTACTGCATTAAAAAAGCGTAATTATGAAACGTCTGATTTCTAATGAAAAGAGATGTAGATCTATCATTAACAGACAGGGTATGTCAGACCTTTTTTTTAATGAGGTAGATGCTAAGTGTGATCTAGCTCACAGTGCTGCTAGCAGACCTGGGTGGTTCTGGCTGCTCTTAGGCTAATGTTATAGCTAAGGCAAAGATGGAGTCGCCTGGGCGAGCAGGTGGCGCAGTGGTTAGCGCACACGACCCAGGAACAGAGGCCTTAGTCCTCGACGTGGCTGACGTCGATTCTAATCCGACCTGTGATCCTTTACTGCATGTCTCTTCCCCTCTTTCATAGCGACTTTACTGTCAGCCTACTGTCGAAAAAAACAAGCCACTAGTGCTGTAAAAACTCAAAAACCTGTTTTGATTGTGATAAATCTGACAATCTGCCAGTCTGTTCAATTCACAGATAAACCCAAAGAGCCTCCAACTGCTAACAGAATCCGGAATGTTTGGCCGTTTCTCGCTATGTGTACTTGTGCGTTCTTGTGTGCTCGTGAAACGTCACCAGCCTCAGCCCTGGTGCTGTTCCAATTCACTAGAACAGACTGAGAACGGACTAAGTCCCCGGATGTTGTTCTAGCCCCTTCCTCTTTACCCAGCATGCATCAGAGCAGACTTGTCTGTTCTCCAGACTGGCAGCTGTCCCAGCATGCACTGCGGCAGCAGCTTCCAATGGATCGCTCACAGAGCTCAGAGTATTAAGTTAAAAGTTCTCTTTTCTGTTGCTGTTGTTCAATAAAAGTAGGTTTTAAGATAATTTGAGGCGAGAATATTATACTTTAATCTCCACTATATGCCCCATTTACTCATTTAGTGCATAATTTAAAGAAAATATTCTGATGTTGAGATGATCGCAGCAACCAGCAAAGCTCCAAGGTTAACTGCAGCCCGTCTGCAGCAGCCCTCTCTCTCCATAGCCGTTTGTGAAGGACCGCTGACTATGATGGCGAGTTTTTCTGATGATTAATTTGGCAAAATGTTAATTTGATTTGTGTTTATCTGACTGTGTTCATTATTATTCCCCCACTAAATTAAAAAAAGTCAGAATTTATTATTACCTAGAGATTATTAAGAACAGGAGGTAAAATGCAGCTCCAGCCTAACTTTGAATCTGGTGATGTCATCAGTACGCCAGATTTACCCTGCATGCTCCCGTTCTCCCCGAGTCCAGACTTTCCTGCATTATTGTCAAGAACATAGTTGGCGAGGACACGAGTCCGTACTCGCGTTCTAATGGATTGAGAAAGGGCCTTTTTTTTTGGCTCATCTGACCACTACAGCATTCTTTCTTTAACAATCTGAATTTTAAAACCAACTCAACCGTGAAAAGACAGAAAAACGACAAAGTATGTTCTACTACGCCACTGCTAGCCTCTCTGACCTAACAGGAAACACAGAGCTAAGCTAACCAATCAGGCATTTCCAACGTCTTATTATTTATATTCATAAACTTTTAATGAGTTCAAGGACACAATGAATCCTGGGTTGGTGCTGGATAATCTGTAAACATTTTCAGAAAGCTGTATTCATTGTGTGTGTCTACATACCTGTACCCAGAGAGTATTTCTGAAACTCAGGTGTGAGGTAAGAGGTCTTCGTTAGGCTGTAGACGTAGCGCTCCAGCACGTACCAGCACATCTCATAGAAGAAGGGACAGCGGAACTTCATAGGAACCTGCAGCACAGGTGAGAGGAGGACTTAGACCCTGTCCTGCTTTCTAACGGATCCAGAGACGGCATCAGAACCTACCCGCGTTCTGTCCTCTATGTTACAGATGTTCAGCTGCATGGGGATGTTGAAGCTGTGCAGGAAGTTTCCTCCAAACACCATGGAGTCCACGGGGGTATAGACGGCATGGATCCAACCTGAGGGTTTAATCAGCATTATCCTCATCTCAAACAGAACCGCGTCAGACTCGTTCAGCTCTTAGCATACCTGAGGGGATGATGAAGGTACAGCCCGGCTTCAGTTCGATCCTCTGACAGTCAGACACTCGGTCTCCCAGAAAAATGTCTCCCTGCTTTCCAGACAGAACCCAGTTCTCATAGAGCTCCAGGCTTGGATCCGTAGGAGGGATCAACCAGAACACCTAAAACACAAAAACTCTTTCTATTAACATTTACATACCAACAGCCCGTCTTCATGTGGTTTTAGATCCCAGCTGTTCGGATTCCTTCAGTGGATTTTGTTCCTACCTTCCTCCCTTTCAGGATGTGGTACCAGACGGACGTCCCTCCAAAGTCGATGTGGAAGTCTGTGTAGCAGCCTTGGACACTCATCAGGCAGTACCTGTGGTTGGAGTCAGACGGGTCAGGAGGGAGGGGTCTGGGTTATAACTGCTGGAGAGGAGGGAGTGGACTTACTTCTGGACCTTTGGGTACTGCATGTCATTGATGGAGTTGGTTGAATCCCTCTGTCTCTCTTTAAGGTGACGAGGCCACATGTTGTCCACCCAGTCTATGAGCTCCACCTACAAACACAGTCAGAGGACCGATTTAGGAACAACCAGGCTGGCTTAAATGAGGGAGCTTTGGGATCCATGACGCACCGTGGTGGGTCTCTTGACCAGATTCTCCAGCTTGGTGTGGCTGAACTCCAGACTGATGACGTTATAGAGTTTATCTCTCTGAGACACAGGAGTCTCGTAGTAACGCGTCCACTGGGCCATGGACATCTCTGTCCCCTTCTGGGTGCTCACATCCATCACATCTATCATGCGTCTGGAACCTGAGGGGGGGTTAGAGGTCATCTGATGTCAGAGACGGCATTTAGAATTACAGACCGTCTGACTGGAGACAGGGAGGGAACTAAAAGGACAATATGGCCACCAATAACTGCCGGTAAAAATCTTACCAACAAACGTCTTGACGTCGTTGACACTGAAGTCCGGTTCTGGCATCCTGCAGAGAAACAGACCGAGGTTCAGTTGACAGATTAGCTTCTGTTTGCCACCATGATCAGAAAGAGGATGTAAACAGAGGCTGTTCCTACTTCAGACCCAGGCCATCAGGCTTCTCAAACAGGATTGGGTCCCTCAGGCCTCCTCTCTGGACGAACTCATAAGTGAAGTCTGTTAAACAAGGAGGAGCAGACAGAGACGGGCTGGATGAAGGTCTGATGACTGTTAGAAACGACACGCCTACGGTCCACACATACCTTTTCCTTCCATGCGGACGATCCGGTCAGAACTGAACCTTTCGCTGCTGACTTTCTCCTCCAAGTCAAACGTCCTCCTTCCATCGATCTCCTCATCAGAGATGCCATCGTCATGGTAACGTCTTCTAGTTCCGGCCCGCTGATGTGGAGAAAACGCAATAAGGAAGGAGAAAAAAACTAA